CCCGGATCTAGGACCCGAGGTGCCCGAATATGCTCGGACTCAAGATCTCGGATCATCGATCCGAGGGTGCAAGATCGAGGCCGCTTGCTTCCTCGATGGTTGATCGAGGGGGGAGTAGCGCCCCGCAGCCTGGAACGCCACTCGCGCCTGCTCGAGCGCTCTCTTGGAGCTTGAAAAGCAGATGGGGCTCGAGCGCGCGCCTCGAAGCGGCACCTCGCAGCGGAAAACATGGGGCGCTTGGCTCGGAGAGCTCGCGCGCCCAGGCGCCCACAAGCATGAGCGAGGCGGGGTCTGACTCGGCCTTCGCGTCGGCCTGGCCCCTCTCATGTCGCGCCTGTTCAGCTTGTCGGACTCCGCCTGGATCGACGCATACTTCTCGAAGTGCATCTTGATGTGGTTATCGATCAGTACCATCTCGTGCTTCTGCTGCTTGACGGTTTTCGAGTAATCCAGCTTGGCGCGCTCGTCTGGAGAGCGGTGCTCGTGCAGCTCGTAGCTCATGTCCGCGGTTTTCTTAATGTTCCAAGACCACCTGATGACGGCTAGGGTCGTAGCCATGGCGACCCCGTCGTTTGACGTCGAGACCATGGAGGCCGCGTTGCACCACTTGATTCAACCTCGGGCCCTGCGCGGGATCACGTTGAAGAGCCTCCCGGCACTCTCGGCGGGCATCTCGCGCAAGTGCTCGACGGGCTCGAACTTCTTGTTGATCGGCCGCACTAGCCCGTGGAGGTTGAGGAGCTCGGCGGGGATGCTTGGGAGGGCTGGCCTGATGCGCTCGGCGTAGGAGCCGTAGGACAGCTTCTCGAGTTTCTCGGCGCCGAGCTCCATGTCTCTTCTTGCGAGCTCCTCCAGCCTGGCTTTGAAGCTCGGCATGAGCCGGAAGAGGTCCTCGGGCGGCTCTCCTCGACAGAGCGGTGCTTCCTCGTGTGTAGCCCAGAGCCAGGTCGTCGTCTGAATACCCAAACCCAACGTCGGAGTCAGCCAGCTCGCGGTGGAGCGCGCAGATGGAGCACTTGGCGTTGGCCAAGTTTGCGACGTGTGCCGCGGAAGCGATCCGCTCCAGGACGATCGCGGGCGCTTCCAGCATGAAATCATGCTTCTCCAAGTCCTTCCAGGTCTGCGGGCAGTTGGCGTCATGAATTATGAATTGCCAAAGCATCGGTGATGCAAAACCAGCCCTTGACCCTCATCTACTACGACCCAGTTTGGAAATCCTGGCTCTTTGACTCTGCTGGCCGATCTGCCCCCCTAGGTCGGGATTTATTCATCCAGGGCGCCGCGCCCCCCACTCCAATGCTAATGGGATCGCCTCCTCCTCCCCCGCGCCGCTAAATGGGTGCGTCTGTGAGCATCGCGAAGGCCTCGCGAAGGGGATCACCCTCGTCGACCCGCTATGGTCGTGGCCATGTGAACGTTGCGTGGTCGAGGGTAGACGTCATCGTCGTCGTCGTCCTCGTCGTGATCGTGGTCGTGATCGTCGCCGTCGTTGTCGTCGTCAGGTTCGTCGTCGTCGTCGACGTCGTCTTCAGTCGGCGTCGGCGTCGGCGTCGGCGTCGCCGGCGTCGCTAGCGTCGTCGTCTCGAGGCGCCTTCGCTCGGCGTCGTCGTCATCGTCGTCGTCGGCGGCGGCGTCGCCGCCACCGTCGTCGTCGTCGTCGTCGCCGTCGCCGGCGTCGCTAGCGTCGTCGTCGTCGAAGCGTCTTCCATCGGCGTCGTCGTCATCGTCGTCGTCGGCGGCGTCGCCGCCACCGTCGTCGTCGTCGTCGCCGTCGCCGTCGCCGTCGCCGTCGTTGTCGTCGTCCCCCTCGTCGTCGTCATCCTCGTCGTCATCGTCGACGCCGCCCACAGTCACATCTGGGAGGGGAGCGTGGGCTGGTGGGACCCTGGGACGCGTCCTATCTGGGGGGGGGGCCTGTGTACCTCCGATCGGAGATAATGTAGCGTAGCCCCCCGTAGTCGCGGGTAAGAGAGAGGGGTTGGTGGGGATGTCTTTAGTCTGCGAGGCACTGACGAAGCCCGCCGCAGGCGCCTAATTTCTACTGGTTATACACAAAGGGCCCACTGCAGGCGCTGATTTCTGATTGAAACAATGTGGGTGGGTCGCGGGTGGGTCGCGGGTGGGTCGCGGGTGGGTCGCGGGTGGGTCGCGGGCGGGTCGCGGGTGGGTCGCGGGTGGGTCGCGGATGGGTCGCGGCTGGGTCGCGGGCGGGTCGCAGGGTGGGTCGAGGCTGGGTCGCGGGTGGGTCGTGAGGTGGGTCGCGGATGGGTCTCGGGCTGGGTCGCTGTGGGGGCGATGCCAAACAACAACAACAGCAACAGCAACAGCAACACCACCACCACCACCAACAACAACAACAATAACGACACCAACAATAACGACACCAACAACCACTCCAGCAACAACAACAACAACAACAACAACAATTACTAGCACGTGGGGACACACCGTTCTCACCAGTGCCAGGGTTTTCATAGGAGGCGGGCAATACCCCCACTTTGTGGGGGGGCCGGTTCAAGCTCTACCAAATTTCCAAACGACTCTTCGCCACCACCCACACCCAGCTTCCCGCCCTATGACGTTCGGACACTTCACTTCGTGGCATGCGGACGACCGTGGCTACTATTCAGGGCCCCGCGGCCGACGACGACGGCGTGCGCGCGCGAAGAAAAAACGAATGTGTCCCGCATGGTATTATTTGACAGGGATGATGGCCCTGGCAGGTGCGCAACCGTTGTTGCAGAAGTTCGAAAAAGTTGCTCGCAAAAGCCCGTTTGACAGAAATGATTAAAAAGTGTTGGGTTTCCTACGAATCCGCAAGAGCGCGCGGGATGAAATTTTGACATTTTTTTTGAAAAACCATTGGTTTTTTGATGTTTTTATGTTAAAATCGCTACGAAAACTAAGGTTTTGGAAGGATTTCGTCTTGCGCGCGCGAATGTCCACTTTACCTTATTTTTTGCAAGGGATTCTTGAAGTTTGGCTATGTTAGAACAAGAAATGTCCACTTTAGCTTATTTTTTGCAAGGGAAAACCGATCGTAACAACACAACCGGATCCGGACCAACCCGTTTTGCCTGAGACTTCCTCACGAAAATGATGAAAATGAGGCTGCGGCCTAGGCGCGGCGGGGGGGTCGTGCACCAGGGGCCCCAACAATAATTATTCTTTAGAAGTAATAATGTTCAACAACAACAACAACAACAACAACAATTACTAGCACGTGGGGACACTCCGTTCTCACCAGTGCCAGGGTTTTCATAGGAGGCGGGCAATACCCCCACTTTGTGGGGGGGCCGGTTCAAGCTCTACCAAATTTCCAAACGACTCTTCGCCACCACCCACACCCAGCTTCCCGCCCTATGACGTTCGGACACTTCACTTCGTGGCATGCGGACGACCGTGGCTACTATTCAGGGCCCCGCGGCCGACGACGACGGCGTGCGCGCGCGAAGAAAAAACGAATGTGTCCCGCATGGTATTATTTGACAGGGATGATGGCCCTGGCAGGTGCGCAACCGTTGTCGCAGAAGTTCGAAAAAGTTGCTCGCAAAAGCCCGTTTGACAGAAATGTTTAAAAAGTGTTGGGTTTCCTACGAATCCGCAAGAGCGCGCGGGATGAGATTTTGACATTTTTTGTTGAAAAACCATTGGTTTTTTGATGTTTTTATGTTAAAATCGCTGCGAACACTAAGGTTTTGGAAGGATTTCGTCTTGCGCGCGCGAATGTCCACTTTACCTTATTTTTTGCAAGGGATTCTTGAAATTTGATTATATTAGAACAAGAAATGTCATTTTCTATTGTTTCTTGCAAGGGAAAGCGGATTACAACAAAACAACCGGATCCTGTACACACCCTCTTTTCTGAGGCTTCCTCACGAAAATGATGAAAATGTAGCTGCGGCCTAGGCGGCGCAGGGGGGGCGCGCACCAGGGGGCCCAACAATAATTATTCTTTAGAATAAATAATGTTCAACAGCAACAGCAACAGCAACAACGACAACAACAACAACAGCAGCAACAACAACAACAACAACTCCAACAGCAGACACAACAACACAAACAAACAAACACTCAAACAAACATTCAAGCAAACGAACAACAACCAAACAAGCAACCAACAACAGCAACAGCAACACCAACATCCATTCCAACAACAAATACAACAGCAGTTCCAACAACCATAGCAGACTCAATAATAAAAACAAACAAACACACAACACATACACCAACAGACAAACATATGAACGAACAGCAGCAACAATAATCCGCATCGCGGAATCCCACTTCAACCACGCACCGAGGGACAGCGAATGACCGTTCGGCCCCCTCACTTTGATGATGTCCCTCTCGGGTTTCGCGGGGCCTAGCCCCACCTAGGGGAGTGGCCTGGTGGGGCTGCGATACCGTGTCCCAGTGGGGGTTGGGATCGGTAAAACGATGCTGATCACCGAGGCGGGGATCGCGCTCAGGACGCATCGACGATTCGAGCTGATCCGAGCCTCCAAGGCGCCTCAGATCACCCCGCTTCGCCACCTCCCATTCTGAGAGGCACCGTTACTGGGGGACAGGCTCTGCAGGGGGGCCAACATCTAATCGGAATCGGCGATGCATCGCCCATAGGGCGGCGATAGGCCCCCAAAGCGAATCCGCAGGATCCTGGGCGGGGTGGGCTGTCTGGTCCCTATCGAGAATCATTGGGCGATAAGGAGTCGATGTGACCCCCCCTGAGCCTATTCCCCCTCGGTACTGGTCGCCTGGCCTTCAAGGCTATAGCTCGGCTCCCTGGCAGCCATTCGGGACGATCCGAGCACCTCGGAACACTCCCGGCGAGGCGCAGCTGCTGGAACGCACCCCGAGGCTACAAAAGCCACCGGGAACATGCGAGCACATAGGAAAGCCTCCTCGAAGCTCGATTGCTCGTGCGCTGAGCCGCCCGTCCCATCTCAACGTTTCAGCTGGCACTGCCCGCCGACCCTCCCTGCTCTGCTTCCCCGAGCCTGGGTAGCGCCGCCGACGCCCGGGTTGCTCGCCCGCAGGTCCTTCACGGGAAGGGCAGCGCTCAGGACGAGGCCCGCCGACGCCGTCGGACGTGGTCGTCGTCGTCGGCGGGGGCTGCTCGCCCTGGGCGTCGTCGTCGTCGAAGGCTGCCGTTCGGCCGTCGTCGGCTGCTCAACCAGGGCGGCGCGGTCGTCCTCGGTCGTCGTCGTTCTCCTCGGTGGTCCTCGGTGGTCCTCGTTGTCGGTCGATCGCCTCGTGCGCCGTCGTCGGTTGCTCTACCTGGGCGCCGTCGAGCCGAAAATGCTCGGGGCGAGCAGACGATGGCTCCAACGATCGAGGACGGTGCCCACGTCGTGGCGTCCTCGGTCGCCATGGCCCTCGTCGCCGGCTACTCGCCCTGGGCATCGTCGTCGTCGTCGTCATCGCCGCCGCCGGAATCGTCGTCGCCGCCATCGCCAGATGCTCGCCCTCGGCGTCGGCGTCGCCGCCGCCGCTACGAAGACAATGGGGGCACAGTCGATTTCAAAAAGACATCAATAGCGCTGCTCCGTGGACCTCTTGCAAGGTCCGCCCAGACCACGATCCCCCAGGCGAATCGATAGGAATGTAAACGAGGCAAGGGCGTCGGCATCGAGATCGGCATCTAACTACACCTCAAAATCCACTAGAAAAACCGGACCTCTCCGGGGGTCTCTGATGCCGGCTCGTCATCCCGACTGAATTTCTGACGGCCCCAGGGCACGGCAAGGGCCTCTAGACTTAGGATGCGAACGACCGACTATGAATACATACGTATATGCAATGGGTATGTGAACACATGTGTATCTCCATGTATATATGCGTGAATAAAAATTAGGAATCCCACCAGCCCTCTGGGCGTCGGTGGTTAGGGTTTTTCCTCTTCCACCCCTCCCTCTTCCCCTTCGGGGAGGGGTTTACCCCTCCCCCTACCCCCTCCCCACTGACCTGGACAGGAGGGGCGGGGAGCGGTCAGAGCGTCCAAAACGGCCTCGGCGAGTAAGCCAAAATCATTGATTTTTCTATGGTTTTGGCCCCATTTTGGCCTTCTGAGGGGGCAGCGCTAATTAGAGCTCCCCTCTTCTTTGATCGATTTCCTCTACGATGGCCGCAGGAGGCCCCCAGGATGCCCCAAGAGGCCGCAGGATGGCCCCAACATGGCCCCAAGAGGCCCCCCAAGAGGCCCCCAGGAGGCCCCCAAAAAACCCCCAAGAGGCCCCAAGAGACCCCCCACAGGCACCCAAGGTGCTCCCAGAGGCCTTTTTACTATGGTTTGGGCTCCATTTTGGCCTCCTGAGGGGGCAACGATGGCCCCAAGAAGCGCCCAGGAGGCCCCCAAAGGCCCCAAGATGGCCCCAAGAGGCCCCAAGAGGCCCCCAGGAGGCCGCAAAGAGGATCCCGAACGGCCCACAGACGCCCCCCCGAGGCACCCACGACGCCGAAAAGCCCCTCAGGACGACCCTCTACTCGCCTGGGCGTCGTTTCTGGACGGGCTGGTGGGGATACGCGAAGCGTCTAGAATTTAGGTGATTCTAGAAACGTGTATGCGTGTATGCATGTGTTGCACATGTACATACCGTATCTATGCATGTATCTGCATAGTCTTGGAAAAAGTGAACACGCATACATACAGTTGGTGTCCGAAGTCGCCTTGAGGATTTGTATTCGCGACAATCCTGGGCTATCCTTGGGCAGTCTTGCAACTCCCTCCAGGACCATTTGAGCCTCCGAGGCCATCTTGGAGCCACGCGTTGGCGACAAATGGGAACTCCAGAAAAGAAACGAAGTTGGGATTCCATTTGGTTGTTGACTGATTTGGCCCCCTTGGAAGTCATGTGCGGACACTCTGGCAGCAACTTGGGGCCTCTTGTGCTGCTGGACACTTTATGGGGCAGCCTGGGGGCCTTCCGGGACAGTCGTTTGGCCCTCTTGGAACTTCTACACAGCCTCGGGAGCCTCCCGTGGGAGCTCGGGGCGAGCACCGGGGAGGCCCCTGGAAGAGGCGTTGGGCACCCTGGGTGCCCCGTGTGTGCTGCGTCCTGGGGCCCCCAGTGTCGGGCTTCCGGGAATTATATGAACCCAGGGGCCGCCAGGATCTTAATTTAAGAACGTGGTGTTCGTTCTTATTTTGTTTTAGCATAACATGTTAATTTAGAAGGTTTTCGCCATATTCGATCGTTTCCATGCGCTGTAGCTATCGAATACTGCGCGCGACGCCGTCCAACGCTCAGCGCGAGGATCTCGCGAATTCCTCAGGGGCCAGAGGGCGTGCCAACATTTCTCAGGCAGCCAAGGAGATAGCTGCCCGACGCGCGCAATGATCTGCAGGGCAAGCCTTCATGGCCGCTTGTTTGGGCCAGCTGGGGCCGCCCGATTGGCCCCTCATGAATTCTGAAGAAACGAAATCCTCGCATTGAACGTGGAACGGCGCCGCGCGCAACAATCGGTATATAGAGACCTAGTGAAGATGCCCAAACACTTCACAACAATCCAATTATGGGCCCCATCCATCCATCGGATCGGAGGCGCCGCAGAAGGAGGAGGAGGAGGGGAAGGAGGGGGGGAGGAGGACGAGGAGGAGGAGGAGGAGGAGGAGGAGGAGGACCAGTGTCACCAACGATGCTGAAAATACCCCCACTTCAAATTCCCTCTCCCACATGCCCCTGCAACGGTTCATTTCCATTGAGGGAGCTGCTTCTTCGGACGACAACTGTCTGAAGACCCTGAAACATGCCAGAACCTTTGTCTTCGGGGTTGCAACGTCACGGGTCAACCTGACTGCTGCGTCTTGGCAATTCTGAATCGTGCCAGGCGTTTTCGATCATCACGGTGCGTTCTTCCACTCCCCCACCATCGCGCCCACGCTGCCCTCGTGAATATTTCAAAGGCGCTGCAACGGAGCGGGATCATGCAAAGGCGCTGCACTCCACTTCCGAGCTGCACAAGCGCGGGCAAAGGCTTGCGAGTGACGTGCGTTGGCGTGTGACGTGCGTCGGAAATTCATCGCGTGCGTGCGTGCGACGTGCGTTGGCGGGCTGACAGTTACAACTATATGATGCAATATCGTGCGTGCACGGTGCGTCGTCTAGCACGTCTGAGCTATGAGTGCTGCCATAGCGTCGCAAAAAGCAGGGGGGTACTCTTTGGATGCGGCCTGGTCTTTGGTCTTGTTGACCCAAGCTCCATGCCTCCACCCCGTGCATACATCCTTGTCGGAATTAACGCGTTTGGACGAGCGTGGGCCCAACTTCGTTAGAGGGGCATGCGAGCCTGAAGCAGCGAGGGAACGGGAAGCATCTCTCTTGGACGCACCTATGCACACGCGAGCAGCCGACAACGAGTGCGTCGTAAAAACCGCGAGTGGCTTCAAACTGCTCCAGCCGAAATACGCGAGGTAGGTTGCCAGCTTGCCCGCGCTAATGAGGTTCAGGCTTGCCTGCCAGGAGCGGCGGCTTCGACGGGGGCGGGCAGGATGGGAGAACGGGCTGAGGTGGGGCGCAGAAGGAACGGGCGGAGAGGGGTAGGGAGAGAGATTGGGGGAGAGAGCAATAGGGAGAAAGAAACAGCGAGAGAGAACGAGGGAGATGGGGAACCGACATTGCCAGAAGGGCAGAGTACAACATCACGGGGGCACCAGGGGCGGGCGGGGCGCCGATGCTTGAAAGGGGGCGACGCGAAACATTGCAGCATTTCCCAGCCATGATACCGATGGGGGACACATGTACATGCGTCCCCCAGCGGTATCGCGCTGATCGTCGGGCCACTTGGCGCAGTCACGGCGCCCGCGGCAGGCTCTCGGCCAGGCGCGGCTGACGGTGAAATCTCACCAGCCCTCTGGGCGTAGGTGGTTTAGGGTGCTTCCTCTTCCACCCCTCCTTCTTCCCCTTCGGGGGGGGGGGGAGGGGGGGCCTCCCCCTGCCCCCGCGCCCTTATACCTGGGCGCTGTTACTAGGGTGGTGGCCACATTTTGGCTCCATTTGGGCATCCGGTTTGACCTCCTTGGTTTTGGCCGCAGGTTTGATCGATCTCCTCCAAAATGGCCAAGCAGCGACCAGGAGGCACCCGTGCAGAGATCCCGAGATGGCCCCAAGATAACCCCAAGAGACCTCCAAGAGGCTCCCACGAGGATCCCAAGCGGCACCAAAAGACCCACCCAATTCACCCAAGACGCCGAGGAGCCCCCCCCCCACCACCACCACCACCACCACCACCACCACCACCACCACCACCACCACCACCACCACCACCACCACCACCACCACCACCACCACCCACCCACGACCGCCCAGAGACCCCCAAACCGTCCTAAGACGCTCAAGAGATGCACCAATGGGGCTCCGAGGAGCATCCAGGAGACCTCTGGCCCTTTTGCTTGCTCTCCTCCTCCTCATTCCTCCCCCTGTCCATTCTCGCCCTCGTCCTCCCCCTCCGCCTCCTCCTCATCATCGTCTCATGTGCCCCCCCCTTCTCCCTACTCCCTAATTCATCCATCCAACTTTCTCATTCCCCCCCTCTCTCCTTCACGCGGCTCGGCCGCCCCCCCCCTTTCCTCCTGCGCTTCCCTGATCGCCCCTCATCTCACCTTGGCGTCGATTCTGGATGGGCTGGCGGGGGCGCGCGAAGCGTCTAGAACTCCACGAGGGGGGGGGGGGGGCGGGCGGGGGCGAGGAGTTGAACGGGTAGATGACTCGCAGACAAGACAGGGAGCATTGTCGAGCAGCAGAGAAACGTGCATTTGGCAGTGCTCAAGGAAGGGTCGCCACCCAGTGCCCCGCCCCATTCGCGAGAATGCGGCGGGCCCGAACCAGCGCTGCAACGATTGGACTATCCTGCACCACCCGCGCCCACCCTCAGCAGGTAGCACACGTCGCCCGCCCCTTCCGATCGATCCCCCTCTTCGCTGGAGCAAAACTTGGCGACGTGCGCCCAGCAGCCGCGATGGCACGCTGGGACTTGCGATCTAACACCGATAGCAAAACTTGGCGACGTGCGCCCAGCAGCCGCGATGGCACGCTGGGACTTGCGATCTAACGCCAAGCCCATGGCCACATGTGTGTTTTTGAGGCCAGGCAGGCCGACTGATCTCTTAACTCTGCGCGTGCGCGGCCAAGATGGCCGAAAAGACCAGGCTGGTCCGAGGAGTGCACTCGCTCTGCTGCCACTCTGATGCTGGCGCCTTCGCGCGAGCTCAGCTGGCGCTCGCGTGGAGCAACGAGGTGCTCGAGTTGCCAGGCTCACGCGAACTCTCGTTCAGCTGCTGGTCCTGGGCAATCTTGATGGCCGACCTGAAACCCGCCTTGCACGCCTTCCCCACTGCATCCTCCATGAGTTTCGATGAAATCGTCTTGAACGCCTTCTTGGTGACAACGAGCCGTAACCCTGGGTCAAGCCCTCCTGCGCTCGTCTTCCCCGCAGTCTCAAGGTCGTCCAAGCGCTCCTTGTACTCGCTGTCGTACTGCTTCTTGTAGTCGTCGTATTCCTTCTTGTAGCCGTACTGATCGTCGTACCAGTCGTTGGCGGAGCCGTTGCCCTTCTGCTTGTTGCCGTCGGTGGCGGAGTCGTTGCCCTGCTTGTCGCCGTCGCCGTCGCCGCCCTTCTGATCGCACGCGAGCGGGCCCGTCGGCCAATCCACGACGACGGCGATCGCCGTCTTCTTGTTGACGACCCAGCCGTTATCAGGGAACTCATCGCCGATGTCTGGGTCCTCGTTGTAGAGCCACTGCCGCTCACCGCGCTTGGTCGCGAACAGCTTGATGGCTGTCTGGGCCTCGTCGTCGGTGAAGGCGCTGCGCAGGTGGGAGAACGACTCGACCAACTCCTGCTTGATCTGCTTTGGGAGCGGGTTAAACGGGTACTTGCCCTCCCCCGCCACTGGGAACCAGACTGGCACGAAGCAGCGCCAATCCGCCATCCAACACCACCTCATCACCTTGTTCGCACCATCGAGGGTGACCACTGGCTCTGCCATCGATCGTCTCGGCGCCAGCGGCGGCTGCTAGGCACGGGCGTGGGCGGAGATCGCTAGAGCCGAACGGCTTACGGCGAGAAGTCGGTGAGAACGGCGGCATAATGTTAGCCTGGGTCTACCTGGTTTCGTGTCGGTGGCGGGGGGCGAGTAGGCTGGTGAATAGATTTCGACGTCGATGGGCGATGAGGGCGGGTGATGAGGATGATGTGATAAGCCACCAGCTGCCAGTGTCCCCTCAATGCGTTGCATTTCCCGTTCGCCCAAGAAAAAGTCTCTGCGCTCCAGGTGACGGTGGAACGGGGCCAACCGCGGAGGGGCGGGGGTGGGGGGGGCGATTCTGTAAAGCCAACAGGGGGGCGCACACTAGCGTTCTCTTGGGAATGCAAGGGAACGAGATATGGAGAGAGACGACGAGCGACTGAGAAAACGGGCGAACAAAGGCGGGGCACAGACACCGAGACAAAGCGGGCGACCGGACGAGGGAGAGAGAGAGAGAGAGAGAGTGAGAGAGAGAGAGAGGGAGACCGATATAGGGAGAGGGGGAGAGAGAGAGAGAGAGAGAGAGAGAGAGAGAGAGAGAGAGAGCGAGAGAGAGAGAGAGAAAGAGAAAGAGAGAGCGAGAGAGACAAAGAGAGAGAGAGAGATCTATATATAGAGAGAGAGAGAGAGAGAGAGAGAGAGAGAGAGAGAGAGAGAGAGAGAGAGAGAAGCTGCAGTGCGGGCGTTTGGCCTTAATGGAGCTAACGTGCCACAAGATGGAACACGAAGGGTTCTCCAATATAACCTTGACGCCGCGAGCGTCAGCCAAAATCATCAACCACGACCTGGGTAGCAATCGGAGGGCGGGTTGGCGTGGAGCGGGCGATCGTCGATGACAGTTCCGCCGATGCGGGGCGGGAGACGTGGACAGGTGGCGTTTGGAGCGAACGGGTGAAAGGGAGCGGCGGCGAAGGGGAGACACGCGCTGGCGGTGGAGGCAGGGGGGTGATATTGCAGGGGCGGGGTTGACATTGCAGAATGGCGTGGCGGGGGGGGGGGGGGCGAGAGTCTACCATTCGCCGCGATCGACGCGTTGCCGAGGCGACCGATCGAGCAATAGCTGCCCTGCGTGGTCAAAACACTGCGTGAGGTCGCACTGCCTGACATAACTAAGTCCGTCAACAATCGCTCGCCCGATCATCCACCCGACCCCTGCAGCCAGGATTGTCGGTCGTGCATTAAGGCTGTGGCATTATCTCTGCCACGAAATTCGCTTCGAGAACGTCCCCCCTGCTCTCGTCGCCGAGAATATTTGCGCCCCTGTCCCTCATCGTGTGGCCCATCGCAACGCCCACCCACGTGCTGGACTCGGGCTCGATCATGAGCGTGCCACCAGGCTTGATCTGCAGCACGCACATCGCACATGTGAGGAGCCCCTGCAGCGTACACACGTCCTCAGACACATGCGATGTACGCCTGCACTAGGCCATCACATTTACAACGTCACTTGCGCCATACCTAATTGGACGCGACTTGGACGCGACTTGGACGCGTCCAAGTCGCATCCAAACCGACTTGGTCGCGATTTGGGCGCCACTTGGACGCGACTTGTTCGCGTCCAAGTCGCATCCAAACCGACGTGGTCGCAATTTGGACGCGTCCAAATTGCGTCCAAATCGCGCCAGCCCTATGGGTGCCATGCGGTCTGACGGTGTAGTCGCGTCCTTTTCCGCAACAGCAAATCTTCACTTTCGAGTGGATATACTCCATCACCCCTCCCCTGGACCTGGACGGGGGCGGGCGCGAGCGGCCAGTTCGTTCAAGATGGCCCGAGATGGCTCCAAGAGGGCATCAGAGAGCCCAAGATGGCACCCCAAATCGCTCAATTCCCGAAATAGCTAGCAAAAGAGACCCAGAGAAAGCAGCGATACGGATGAAGCTGCTTCCAGTGACCTCTCAGGCCCCCCCCCCGAGAAGCCAGCGTCTTTCAACGCAAACACATGGGTTGGCATTGTCGCAGTTTCGCTTCCGATGCACTGTTTGAGGTCTCAAGATGGCCCCGCGAGGGCCCCAGAGAGCCCCGAGAAGGGCACGAGGCGCCGCCCGAAACAACCCCAAGAGCGCCCAAGATCGCCCCGAGATGGCCCCAATATTTCGATGGCCCAGGAGGGGCGACGAAACTCTAACCCCCCCCCCTCCTTTGATCGATGGCCCCCAAGATGGCCTCAGGAGGCGCTCAATAACTTCCAAGAGGGCCCCGCGAGAGCTCCAATAGAGCCCCCAGATCGAAGGCTCCGCGCGGGCTCCACTGCGCCCCCAAAGAGCTCCAAGAGGACCCCACGACGCTGCCTAGCTCCAATAAGGCACCTGATGCTCAAAGATAGCCCTCAAAATGACCCAGCGCCTTCCTCCCCCTCCTCTCTTTGACTGGTATGTCTTACCATCAGCGTTATGCGTTCCATTTTCCGTCAGCTCTCGTGGGCAGGGCTTCTGCGTGGGTTGGCGCGGATTTCAGACACGTAAACATGTGGCGCCCAAGTCACGACCATGCAACTCTGTATGATTCGAGATACGGTGCGGTGACGTTGCAAAAACGAACCGGCTTCGGGGGTGTGCGAACTGATGAATGTGGTGCATTTTGAACCCTTCGCGGCCTGTCGAAACCACGAGCTTGCAATCCTTTGGTGATCAACTTGTTGGTGACCCCACCAGCGCCGCAGAACAATTCGAAACAATCTAGGTAGCGAACCAAGGTAACTGGCATATCCCCCGTGATCCATCGAGCAACCTCACCCGATGCTGCTTCCATCAGGATATCAGAATTATCGCATGCAAGAACGTGATCGTTTGCGTCCGGCCATCCCTGTCTCACTCTAGCTGCTAGCCAGTCTGGCACGCCGTGGCCCAAACCCAGAACCTCGGCCATGCTTCTTGATGGGGGACGCGTAAATATATTTAGAATGGCCAAGACTGCCTAGAACTCTGATGTGGTGGTGCAGCGTCCGAGAGAAAGTCAACCTGTGGCACCGCTGAGCCAGATTGCGGACGGTGAGGTTCAGAGACTCATCAGTAAAGGTAGAATACAAACGCGGCGGGCCGAACTCGCTGATCCTTAGGAGAGCGATCGACGTTCCGATGATCAGCTGCTCGCGCGAGTGCCCCGATCCACTGCGCCCGCCCACTACCCCGCCCGCGCGCAACCCCCAAAATCCCCCAGGTAGTCCAGGCGGGCGTTTGGCTAGACGAGTGGATCGGGGGGTGGCGTGGGCAACCGATCGTCGCTATCCTTTTTGTCCCTTCGAACGCAGTTATTTTGTTATTTGCGAAATTGTTTCTCTCACTCTCTGAGTATATACATTTTACAGGTCTATAGATATTGTTTGTTTCTCGCTCTCCCTCTCTCTCTCTCACGCGCTGGATATATATATATATACAAGTACATGTATCGCTATCACACTCACTCCGAGACGGGGGGGCGCACCCAAGACAGACGCCCAGAGACGAGGTGGAGGGTGAGGAGGGGCCCATAAATAATTCAGATGTTCGGGCGCTTTGAAAATTGGCGCTTGTGAGGGCGACTCCCCCGTCCCCGAAAACACAAGATGGATGGGTCCTGTGGGTCAAGTGACAGAATAAGTGCCACTTGGGGGTCAGTCTCACAAGCGCAACCTGCGCGTGGCACATAACCCGCGATGCGGCCTCCAATGCAGATGTGTAGTCGGCATGGCTAGGCTGCGCACCCATATCTTTCGTCACACGGGTCCATTCCAGCAAAGCGCCAACAGACATCATGAGGGGCCCCCCGTGCGGCACACGATCAACATATCTCCCCAGCAGGTCTTTGCAAAAAACGATCAACATCGACATCTCTGCTCCTTTAATTTTCATCGGGCATCCTGGGAAGGGGGCCCCTCTTGCCCGCTTGACTTTGCACCTCGCGCCGATCATGCCTGGCGTGAGCCTCCCCAGCCTCTGCTCATGTGGGATGATGTTCCTGGAACCATGCATGCATATCTGCTTCGACGCACTTTACTCTCTGCTGTACTGAACGCTTGAAATACACGCTTGCGAGTATGATCCTCCGCAGCATTACTGATCCCAGTCGTTGCGTCACGCCTAAATGAACTGCGTGGAGCACGTCTAGCGCCAGCGTAGATGCAGGGCTCGACTTCAAATCGTCAGAGAATACGGGGCTGCGGTGGGTCACTGGGTCAATCGAAACACCTGCGCCGTCCCGCCTCACCCGCCAAAACACGAAGTCAAACGGTATTGGCTTGGTCCAGACTTCCCTGATGTCTAGAAGCGACGGCGAGGGAAGTAACGCATCTCCCATCTGAAGTGGCACCCCGTCGATTTCATGTGTCACAACAAGCCCCCCCATCTGTTTTGCGGCTGGTTCCACGAAAGTTAACATGCTTAATATCTGATTTCGTTTGATATCTGAATCAATGCTGATAATACGTTCACACGCATCACATGCATCGTGGTAAGATTGCGGGGTGCGAGGTGGGAAAACCATCCCGTCGGGGCAAACAAATCCAGGATAGCAAACACTGATGGAATCCAAGGGCGACGTGCAGCACGGACAAGGGTTATACAGGCTCGACCAAGATGACAGACCGAACGAATGCGAGAATTCCGCCCAGTCCCCTTTGACGTACATTAACACCGCCCTACACCCAAGATCTTTCCCCGCAGCACCAGCGACGGCCCACGGAGTCCCATCGCATTGCACATCTGGAGCACACCCTCTGACCAGCGCTTTGAGCTGCCACCAGACAACATGCATGAATGCATATAGTGTACAGTGCCCTGCACACCCGCAGTCGCATTTGTCAAGTGTGCGCAGAAAGCCAATGTAATGTCGACGCTTCGTTAGCAAGTTAACCACGCTCACATTCAAGACGCTGTCCGTACGCCCAGCATGAAGTGGTGAGTACCGAACTGAATCGGCGTACAATGGGGAGGGGCCAATCCCCTGTCTGGTGTAGACATTCGTGTACATGTTCATGGTTCTGGTA